CCTAAAATCCCCATTTTTACCCCAAAAAACACCGGGTTTTTTCCTCCCACCCCCTCCCAGTTTATCCCAGTCTATCCCAGTCCCATTTTTAACCCTACAAATCCCACTTTGCACCATTTATAACCCTAAAACCCTCAATTTTAAACATAAAATCCCCATTTTTTCACCAAAAATCCTCGTTTTTTTTGCTCCCAGTCCCTCCCAGTTTATCCCAGTCCAATTTTTAACCCTTAAACTCCCATTTCAGCCTTAAAAAAAAACATTTTTTGACCTAAAATCCCCATTTTTTAACATAAAATCCTCATTTTTTTCACCAAAAATCACCGGGTTTTTTCCTCCCAGTCCCTCCCAGTTTATCCCAGTCCATCCCAGTCCCATTTTTAACCCTTAAACTCCCATTTCTACCCCTAAAAATCCCATTTTTCCACCTAAAAATCCCTTTTTTTGCCCTAAAAATCCCATTTTTCACGCTAAAAACACGGGGTTTTTTGCTCCCAGTATAACCCAGTTCATCCCAGTACCCTTCTCGACCACGGCAGCCGCAGGGTCTGGTTCCTGGCCAGGCTGTAGGGGGCGCCCTCTCCTCATTTTTAACATTAAAAATCTCATTTTTACCATAAAACACCGGGTTTTTTTGCTCCCAGTCCCTCCCAGTCCTTCCCAGTATAACCCAGTCCACTTTTAACTCCTAAATACCCATTTTTAACCCTTAAACTCCCATTTCTACCCCTAAAAATACCATTTTTTCACCTAAAAATCCCATTTTTTGCCCTAAAAACACCGAATTTTTCCCTCCCAGTCCCTCCCAGTATAACCCAGTATAAACCAGTCCCTCCCAGTCCCATTTTTAATCTTTAAATCCCCATTTTTCCCTCTAAAAACCCCATTTTTTAACATAAAATCCCCAGTTTTCAACGTAAAAATCCCATATTTTGCCCTAAAAACGTCGGGTTTTTTCCTCCCAGTCCCTCCCAGTTTATCCCAGTCCATCCCAGTTCCATTTTTAACCCTTAAATCCCCATTTTTCCCTCTAAAAACCTCACTTTTTACCATAAAATCCCCATTTTTCAACGTAAAAATCCCATTTTTTGCCCTAAAAACACGGGATTTTTTCCTCCCAGTTTATCCCAGTCCATCCCAGTACCCTTCTCGACGACGGCCAGCCGCAGGGTCTGGTTCCTGGCCAGGCTGTAGGTGTAGCCCTCGAAGGTGAGGTTGCGGCGCAGGCGGCAGACGTAAATCCCGGCGTGGGCGCGGCCGACGCGCTCCAAACGCACCGAGAGATCCTGCAGGTCCCGCGTGCCCCGCGAGCCGTTCCAGGCCAGCACCCCGAAAAATGGGCCTGGGGCCACCCACTGACCCTCCTCGGGGCTGTAGTG